CCTCTCATCCTCAGTTCCTATCGCAGTCCCTGGCACATAGTAGGTTCCCAGATAATGTTAGTCAAGTGACTGAAGGCTTCCTGGAGGAGGTGGATTCCATGCTGGGTTTTGCAGGGTGGGTAGGATTTGGGGAAGCAGAACGGAGGCAGGAAGGAGGCATAAAAGGACGAGCTACCATCGGGGCATATGTGCTTCCTGAGACAGCCACTTGTGCACAGGGAAGTGTAATTCATAACCAAAACAAATAACTGAGACGCAGCTGCAATGCAAGGACTGCTATATACCTAGGCGGAGCTGGATGCAAGGTCCAGCGTGAGGGTGACGGGAGTGTCGGGGAGACCAGGACAGCCTTAGCCTTCCCTGTTGTTCCCATGGTGATGTGCTCAGCGTCAATATCCTGAGGGGGTGGGAGGTGGCACTGGGGCTGGGGAGAAAGGGAGGGACGGCCAGGGTGCATCAAGTGGGGTGACGGCCTGGGCTCTAGCTGGGAGTGTCATGGAGAAGACACACTGCCTTTGGAACTTGCTGGGCACTGGTGGACTTAGAATAACGGCCTGCTTCAGTCATGGCCGAGAGGTAGATGATGAAACCGGACATAGTCTGAGTCCTTCCCAGCTCTGCTTCCTCTAACCAGTGTGGGTGTCCCTCCCTGTCCAGGTGATGGTGTGGATCCACGGAGGTGGTCTGGTGATGGGCGGGGCCTCAACCTATGATGGCGTGGCCCTCTCTGCCCATGAAAACGTGGTGGTGGTGACCATTCAGTACCGTCTGGGCATCTGGGGATTCTTCAGGTAAGTTTCTGGGCTCTCCTCCCTGCACTCTGGTCCCAAAGTGAGGGTACTAGGACCCAGCGCTGGTCATGCCAGCCCTCAGGGGACCTTTGCTAAGTTCCTTATAAAAGGCATCCCAGTCTCCGCATGATCGGACCCCCCTTACCTTCTCATGACCCAGCCACGCTTGTTCACTTGCTGCTGAGCTTTTGCATGTGCTCTTCGCTCCGCCTGGAATGCGTGCTCTACCCGGCAAACTCCTATTCATCCTGCAAGGCCCAGCGCACATGTTGCCTCCTCTGACGTACTCATCTCCTTTTCACCTGTGCTGCCCCAGCACGTTCCACATTCCTCCATCCAGCCATTAGATGCAGCACAGCGGTGAAAGGTTCACACATCTTCCTTCTCTTAACAACGAAGGCAAGGACAGACTCACAGAGAATGCTCAGCAAATGCTTGTGGGGGAAGGAATGGGTGTCTGGAGATGGGAGGTTGTCAGAGCACCTGAGCCCAGTGAGCCCAGTGAGCCCCCCTCCCTGGAGGAGTGTCGGGGTGCACTCCCCCCATGTCTTCTTAGAAATCTGGCACATGCAGCAGTCAAGGCTAGAGGCTTCTTTGTGGGGACGGGAAGCAGGTTTCCTTCCCGGCACAGTGACCCTAAGCCTCCTCGGAGTGCACCTGACCCAGAACACCTGCCCCAGGTGTGATGGGCGGGTGGGGGAGGATCCGCTCACTGCTGGGAAGACCCAGGGAGCAGGAGGACGGGCTCTGCTGGGCCTGCCAGTGGGCGTCCCGGGCCAGTCCCCGAGGTTGCGCCTTCCTTGAGACTCCACATCCCTCTCGCCCACGGCC